CAGTGGTTAGAGCACTGGACTCCGACCCTCGTGGTCCCGGGTTCAATTCCCCGTCGCGGCGGTCGTAAAAATGCCTGCGCTCTGACTGCTTGCTCGAGCCCGAGAAAACGACATATCGGCTTGAGAAGTCAAACACAGGTGTCGTAGGGGAAGTCACCGCCATGGCACAAGTGTTAACGCGCCGAACCGCGGTTGATTAGGAAGGGCACTCAATCAGGCAAGGGTGACACCGCCATATAACCTCTCAAAAGTGAATTGAGAGAGGCCTATGTCCTGCAGTGGAATGAATGGCTGTTAAAAAAAAAAAAAAAAAAAAAAATATATATATATATATATATGTATACACATATATCTATCTATCTATCTATCTATCTATCTATCTATCTATATGTATATATATGTATGTGTATATATATATATATATATATATATATATATATATATATATATATATGTATGTATATATATATGTATGTATATATATATATATATATATATATATATATATATATATATATATATATATATATATATATATATATATATATATATATGTGTATGTATATATGTATGTATATATACATATATATATATATATGTATATATATATATATATATATATATATATATATATATATATATATATATATATATATATATATATATATATATGCACAGGGAGGAAGAGGATGAGAAATGTGTGATCAGCATCCCCCACAGAATATCAAGGGGACGATGGAACAGACAGACTAACCCGAAGTAGTAAGTGCCGTCCTGGAAGGGCCCGTCTCGAACGTCGTCCAGAGTTGGTATGTCGGCTTGAAGTCGACGCCTTTCCGCTGCCTGCTGACGGAGGTTCTGCTGCCGCTGTCGGAGTTCCTCTTGCTCTCTCTGCCGCTCCTGCTCTCTGACCGTCGCCTCCTGCCTTTGCCTCTCCCGCTCCAACTGCTGGCGAGCTGCCTCTCTCCTTCGGCTCTCTTCCTGCTGGCGGAGTTCCAATTGTCGCCTCCGCACCTCCAGTTGTCTCCGTGCTGCCTGTTGCCTCTGAATCTCCTGCCGCCTCCGCAATTCCTGTTCCCTTCGGATCTCCTCCAGCCTCAGACGTCCTAGTTGCTGTTGGCGGGCGGGTTGCTGCGCGAAAGATTGCTGCACCACTGGCAAAGGTTTCACCAAGGAGTCTTGTCCAAGGAAAGGCTGTTGGTTGAGGCGTGAGGGCGTCACAGCAGGTTGGGAGACTGGCTGAAGTTGGGAAAACTGCTGATCTTGTAAGTTGGACTGCAGCCTTTCTCGCACAGTCAGTTGTGCACAGGCGCTCGAGGCCAGTAACAACCAAAGCATCTGCAATGCATAATTGAATTTATTTGTCATTAACTAATTTGTTGATTCTACTTTACTCCTTTGCTTCACAATTTCCCTCTATAAAAAGGAGATAGAAGTGTTCATTGATGTATGTATGTATATACATGTATGTATGTATATATACACATATATATACATATATGTATATGTGTATATATATGTATATATATATATATATATATATATATATATATATATATATATATATATATATATATATATATATATATTTATATATATGTGTGTGTGTGTGTGTGTGTGTGTGTGTATACATATCTATACGTGTGTGTGCGTGTGTGTCTGCGTACGTGTGCGTGCGCAACAAATTATGTCGATCCATTTAAAAGCGTATTCCCATTCTCAAAAGCAAATAGAAAAGAATGAATAACATTTAAGGAGACGATTGCTTGTAGTAAAAAAAATAATTTACGTTTCATAACCTCAGAACACGTGGTATAACAGCCTCGTTTCCGGCTCTGAATTGGAGAGTAAATCAAGCGAGGGAATTCAGCAAAACCTCATTCCCTTTGCAATTTCTTATTCTTAGAGACTGACGCCACATATAGTTGAAATATATTTTGAGGATTTTATAAAGAAATGCACATTCTAATTAGACTTCTGCTTTTGATTGAAACAGCGGTGAACCAAGTGGGAAATGAAGTACTGATCTATTAGTGAATGATGCGTGTAATCCTTGCTCTTTTTTTTTTATAAAGGGAACGGACACATGCAAAATAAGTTTTTTACAAAGAGACACGGTCACATTGAAGTATTCAATGAGTACACACACACACACAGACACACACGCACACAAACACACAAACACACGCACACACACACAAACACACACACACACACACGCACACGCACATACACACACACACACACACACACACACACACACACACACACACACACACACACACACACACACACACACACACACACACACACCACGCACACACACACACGGTCCAATCGTCGCAAAGGAGCGTTCTGAGAGCACGTACCAGACGCATCATGGCGGCAGAGTATCCCCGTTGAGGGCTTGGTACTGTCCTCTGCCTTCCTCTGGAGCTACAGTAACGCGGCCCGAGCTGAGACGCGGAAAACCAGCTTCTGAAGACGTTCGGCTCCGGGGTCGTTCGTCAGGAGCGAGACCGGGTCGGGAGTGGCGAGGGGAACGGCGCCTCAAGCCTAATATACCCCGCATCCCCTCCTCACGCCGAAGGTCGCCGCATGGCCTGGCGGTGACGTCGGGCAGCCCTGACTCCAGTGCTAATGAAGCAGGTGTTATCATAACCGCTAGTGTGGTTGTGGTGGTTGTTCTACGGGATATCTCTTGTATGGTGTGAGGGGTGTGGTTAGGCGGGGAGGTATGGGCAACGGGTTTGAACGATATAGTGTCAGTCGGAAATGATAAGCCCATACACACACACACACACACACACACACACACACACACACACACACACACACACACACACACACACACACACACACACACACACACAAGCACTCACACATACGCGTCACACATTCATAAGTTTTTTTTTTCAGCACCGATGTAATGGAACCAGATATGGTCATGTATGGTAATAATAATAGTGACAGCAGTGACAATTAACCGACGTAAACAGCAATTCATATCTGTGTGTGTGTGTGTGTGTGTGTGTGTGTGTGTGTGTGTGTGTATGTGTGTGTGTGTGTGTGTGTGTGTGTGTGTGTGTGTGTGTGTGTGTGTGTGTGTGTGTGTGTGTGTCTTAGAGAACACAGGCCATACATCTTACTTTTTCAGATAAGCACACAAGCGACTTACCTTCGCGTCATCTAGTCAACATATCATTTGAAAGTTTTAGATTTAATTCCATAAAATTTAATTCCTACACACACACAAATCATGCGCGTACAGATTTCTCTCTTTCTCGTTCTCTCTCTCTCTCTCTCTCTCTCTCTCTCTCTCTCTCTCTCTCTCTCTCTCTCTCTCTCTCTCTCTCTCTCTCTCTCTCTCTCCCTCTCTCTCTCTCTCTCTCTCTCTCTCTTATACTCTCACTCTCCATCTCAGTATCTAGTCTGAAAATATATCGGATACCAAGAAGCGCCAAAGTAGTACTTAACAGAGCAGTCACTTCGAAATGTTTCACTCCTCATCTGATGACTTCGCAACCTCAGGCTAGCACTGAAATCATTATTATAATTCACTTTATTATCACAGCACATGTATAAAAAAAAATGAATAACATATTTAAGGATCTTTATTAACTTTGTAGCACTGCGGATCCATACTGTACGTTGTTGAATATTCGTAATGTATATAATATGCATGTTAGTATGTTACGCGAAAATTCTGTAACTGGAAGGCGATGCAAGTGTCAGGGTAGCATTTTGTGTCATATCGCCTTTGTAGATTTTATTGTTGTATATTTGTTGGTTGAATAGAGATAACTGTATTCACATACGTACAAGTACCTGTCTTTGTGCTTACGCATACTTATATTTTCTTTTATTCGTGCCATCACCGATACGGTGTTTGAAGAACTATTTGGCGACATGTTGACATCATGTAGTTAACTAGAGAAAGTGAAAGAGAGACAGACAAACAGACAAAGAGAGACAGAGAGAGAGAGAGAGAGAGAGAGAGAGAGAGAGAGAGAGAGAGAGAGAGAGAGAGAGAGAGAGAGAGAGAGAGAGAGAGAGAGAGAGAGGGAGAGAGAGAGATACATAAATACACAGATAGATAGACTCATAGATAAATACAGAAATAGATGGATAAATAGATAGATTGATTTATGCATACGAGTACATACGAGTATATACATATATATGTGTGTATATATATATACACACATGTGTGTGTGTGTGTGTGTGTGTGTGCATATATATATATATATATATATATATATATATATATATATATATATATATATATATATATATATATATATATATATATATATATATACACATGTGTATGTATATTAGTGTGTATGTACAAACATACATACATTTATAGACCGACCCACTGCATATGCATTTATGTATATTTATATATAGTTACTAATAAATTCTTGGAATCATTGCGCTGACAAAAAAAGGTATAGTTAATGCTGGCAGATGGTTCATATAGATAGAGAATTGGACGGAAAGAAACTGTAAACTGAATATAAATACGTGTTGCACAGAATAAAGAAAGGGAAAGCAGAGAGAAAGGGATAGAGTTTCCTGAGAGTTTCTTAACTTAGTGTCGCTATATTTTGAGTTTCCAAGAACTGTGGTTAGATTGAATTAGTTTGTAATTATATGAAATTCAAGTGAAATAAGTGAATTAATTTCAAGTGATTTGTACTTGAAATTGAGTAAGTAAAGTTGCAGATTACATTAGACAGCTTGTTTTTCCTGTTTCCTTATTTCTTCAGTGAGAATTTTCTTATATTTTGCGGATAAGGTTTGAAATGAAACATGTAATCTCCGCTAACAGAAAACCATTGTTTAAACACTGTTCCTTAATCCTTTTCTTTCTAGTTTTCTCGTTCTTAAGACAAGGCAAAGAGGAAGAGAAAGAGACATAGAGAAATAGAGGAAGGGAAGGAGAAGGAGAGAAAGAGAGGGAGAGAAAGAGAGGGAGAAAAAGAGATAGATGG